GTCGCCACCCAATGGGGGAGAGGAGCGCCGGCGCGTCATCAGTGTCCAGGCAGAAGGACCTGACACAGGTTAGGAGCAGAAGTGAAACTGGGGACATGGGGAGTCTCCACCCTGGGCTTCCCCAGCCCAGAACCCTGTGTCCAGGACAGAGCGCTGTGTGTCATGGTGTCTCCGCGTTCTCCCCCAGAAGCTGTCTGGACACCAGGTCAGAAACACAGGCCAAACTCATCATCATTCTCCACCCTTCCTCTGCCTCTTCTCTTCAGAAGTCGCACCCTGGAGTCTTCTGGAAGAAAAGCCGCTTCCGGGCATACAGTGGCAACAACAAGCAGTTGGGGACACAGGGAGCGAAGCTGTCCTTAAGCAGAGGCGCTGGCCTGCGAGCCCCTCACAGACCCCACAGAGACCAGGCTCTGTCCACCTGCAGACCAAGCAGCTCCGGAATCTGCTAAAAATGACGGAGATTCAGCAGCTACCCGGACAATCTCCCGGGTTCCTCTGTGGTAATCTCGATGTCCTTGGGAGCAGAGGGTCCAGGGCAGCGTCAGTCTTCGCTGCCAGGCTCAGAGGATCCAACAGACTTTCCTGTGGACTAGGACTTGGGGAACCGGCCTGCTCTGTCTCAGCAAACAGGACAGTCAACTCCCCAGTGTCCTGCTTGTCCACAGTTTGGACAGGGTCCTGGCGACAGGCAAGGGGAAGGAGAGTTTTTCATCCAGTGGCCGACTGTGTCACATTCCCAGCAAGCTCCAAGTGGAGTTCTTCCACCCCATCATCAGCTGTGGTGACCTTGGGGTCACTGCTAGAACCTGGGGGTCTTTGTCATCGTCAGCCTTTTCCATTAAACATTTTAAATGCCACAGTCAATGGATCTGGAAAGGTTTTGAGGACCTTTATCTAGTGAATGTGTTTAAACTAAACAGGCTTTGCTTGTTTCTAGTTACTTGTTTTAGGCTTCACTTTGAGAACATATACAGGAGGCTAAATAAAGCTTATTCCTGTAATTAATTACATCAGGACTTAGCTTGACAGCACGGAGAGCTTTGCACACATTAAAGCATTTGATCATGAATACACTGACTATTAACAAGCATGTCTTAATTGTCTTCAACAGTTTACCCTAAGTCAGTAGCTTTCATAAGATTAGGGTTTTATAGCTTTATCCGTGTTAAGTTTGAGCCTTAAAAATAAGAGTTAAAGATCCTTTAGCATCAGAAGAAACCATCAATGCAGTAAACTTTAGTCCATATTAAACTGGTATCTTAAGATGGGTGTGGTTGCACGCGCCCGTGATCTTAGCTCTCTGGGAGGCAGAGGCAGGTAGATCACTGCAAGTTCAAAGCCAGCGTGGTCTAAGCAGTGAGTCCATGACAGCCAAGGCTACACAGAGAAACCCTGACTCAAAAAAAAAAAAAACCTTAAAAAGACTGGTATCTTTAACAGTGTGCCATTATAGAATATCATAGTTTTTTTATGACTCAGTTTATCCAAACATCTAAAGCTTAACAAGATGAGCAAAGACAAAGAAGCTAGACAAATATTAATGTCCTGTCTGGGGCACAGCTGTCAGCTCTCAGATGAAGAACAGAGGGATCTCAAGATCAAGGTTCTGTTTCTCTCAGGAAAGACTGGAGTGCTTGAGGGAGAGGACTGTGGGCTGGGCAAGGCTCCTGGTCTCACTGGGGGAGGAGGAAGTGGGTTTCCCACCACGTGTGAAGCTCAGCTCTGTTAAAGGAGATCGTCGGTTTCAGATGATACTGAAGTGTCACAGCTCTTTGACTATGTCGCTGAATTAAGCTGTATTAACAGCAGGAGTGTGGGTGAAAGCTCATAGCTGCTCAGCTTGCAGCTCAAACATAGGCCTGGCAGGCTCATGCCCTGAGGTCCGGAAGGCAGGTCCAGGTGTGGGACCTGAGGTCAACACTGAGCTCAATCGGGTCAGGCAGGCTTGACTGAGGCAGCTATGGCTGGCCTGGAGTCCAGCAGCGAATCTCCAGGGAGGAAGGAAGCCCTCTTTTCCCCAGAGTAAATGACAAATCTCAGGCAGCCATCATGGAAAGCTGATGGTGTCACGAAGCACTTTTATTTCCTGTGAAATCAGGGATGTATAAACCTTGGGCAATGGGAGGGGTTTGGAGGGTGAATGTGTTTGATTCCCTGGGCTGGAGGTGCTAGGGATACTTGATTTACATGTACTGGTTCAGCATCTCATTTACACGCAGTAGCATGGTCCTATCACAAGCAGGAGAACACAGGACTTAGTTATCCTTTAGCTGGAAAACTCTCCAGGTAAGTTGAAGGTCATTTTCGTAAAGCTAAGATCTCCTTAGCACAGGGTGGGTATTTCCAAGAATCCCCAGGTGCTTGCTGAGCAGGTTTCTTCTCAGGAAAGAAAGGGCCTATAGTCCTCCCCGAGGGCTATGTGACCCTGCTTAGAGGTTTTAGAGTTCAGGTAGGGAGGGCACCCCACAGAGAAAGGGAGTCACTGAGAAAGGTATGGACTGAGCTCAGAGGCCACCTGGAAATGTCAGACTTTGACCTTGTCTAGAATCCCACATATTACTCTGAAGCTGAGTAGACCTTAGGATTATAAATGTTATTTATCAAATATACCTGGGCTGGAAAGATGGCCCAGTGGTTAAGAGCCCTGGCTGCTCTTCCAGAAGACCCAGGTTCAATTCCCAGTACTCACATGGCAGCTCACAACTGTCAGTAACCATAGTTCCAGAGGATCTGACAGCCTCACATGACATCAATGTAGACAAAACAGCAGTGCTCATAAAATGAAATTTTAGAAAAGATTTATGCCTTATTTATCAAACATCATACATTTTGTAGCTTTGTTTTGAACAGTTGGCAAAGATATAAGAAGTTAGACATACTTCTTAAATTAGCTTTTGCTAATCCAGGTAGAGCTTTATAACCTTAAACTTTATCATCATAGACAATAATTGTAAAACTGAGTTAATCACATATACAGTATATGGTAGCAAATATAACCTTAAATTTTCATCATCATAAAGAATTCATCCCAATCCAACATATTTGAGAGTTGTTGCTGCTTCCTTAGACTAAAAAGAGACACAATGAGAAACAGAGCTCATTAGGACCAAGAAGTTCTACCACTGCTGCTTCATATCGTGTGGTCATCTGAAGATGGTGAGGTCACATGGCATGTGCCCTTTAACCTTAGTAAAGATGGCTGCCAGCCATGTGGCTGCTTACATCCTGATGAGGTCGCCAGCCAAGATAGGAGGGCCACACGGCTGCTACTTTAAAACATCTGTTTTTGTAGTACATAGTTATATAGTATATTATATGGTGTATATAATATATAGTAAATGAAAGCTGTATCCAAGTTGCATGCACATATACACACAGAGATGAATCATATAATACGTTGCAGCAAATGATGACCACCTGTGTATAGATTTCAATTATAAGCTTCTCGTTATAAGCTTTCTTAAAAGATTTATTCATTTATTTTATATATGTGCATGGCATCAGATCCATATATAGATGGTTGTGAGCCATCATGTGGTTGCTGGGAATTGAACTCAGAACCTCTGGAAGAGCAGCCAGTGCTTGTAACTGCTGAGCCATCTCTCCAGTTCCTAGTTATAAATTTAAAGCCAATTTTTTTTACAGATTTTATTGATTTTACCATACCCAATGGTAAATTACAAATTTTGAGATAGTTTACAGCATAGTCTTAAGAGATTTTTTGAGAGCAGAGCACAGAGATTAAGATTTTTAGCAGCCTGAAAGTAGAGAAAGTGTCCAGCAGAGGGAGTGCAGATACAGAGATTTGGGGATCATTTGTCTGTGTAGCAGCAGTTGGTACAATGTGGAAGAGTTTGCAAATCACATGCACCAATATTTTGGCCATTGGTCTGTACTGTGGCTAACCTTATGTTATGATGAAATCTGAGTGCACAGAGGAAGAGAGAGGTTGTTGCTCGGGAGGGAATTTCGATAAGCTCTGTGCTAAGAAGTGGCTGTGAGGGAAGTCTTGACGTGGCTGCTGGAGCTGAGTCTCTCAAGTGGGCTTGGGGAGCACCTGGCTCTGGAATGTGGGTGGTTCTCAGTTTACCAACAGGGCTGGTCTGCTCTGAGGCATTGGAGCAGTGCTGGAGAGTGACCGAAGTGGAGGGACAGGGATTGTGCCTGGGCTCTGGTCTTACTGAGCGTTAGCATCCATCCTGCTTCTAGGTGAGGAGGCTACTGGGTGGATGAGGATGGAGATGACAGAGAATAAAAAAACATGAGATGTGTCCTAGACACTCTTCTGTTGCTGTGAAGAAGCGTCACAACCAAGGCAACTGTTAAAAGAGAAGGCACTTAGTTGGGAGCTTGTTTACAGAGTCCTAGTCAGTCCTCGTCATGGTGGGGACCATGGCAGAGAGCAGGCAGGCATGGGGCTGGAGCAGTGGCTGAGAGCTACATCCTCACATATAGGCAGCAGGCAGAGCAGGACTGGACCTGGCATGGGCTTGCAAAACATCAAAGCCCACTCCCGGGGATACACTTCCTAAAACAAGGCCATGCCCCTAATCCTTCTAATCCTTTCAAAGGGCCCCACTCCCTGGTGAAAAAGTATTCAAATATATGGGGCTATGGAGGCCATTCTTTTTAAAATTAACTAACTAACTAACTAACTAACTAACTAACTAACTAACTAACTAATTTTGTTCTTTCAAGACAGGGTTTCTTCATGTAGCTGGCTGTCCTGGAGACCCTTTGTAGACCAGGCTGGCCTTGAACTCACAGAGATCTGCCTGCCTCTGCCTCCCTCCTAGTACTGGGATTAAGGGTGTGTGTCACCACCACCTGCTAGACTAGAGAATACCTGACCAGTGCCAAGGCCTGTCTGCTAGGTGGTTAGAGACGTTAACTGCCACACAGTCTCAGGAAGGCTGACCCTGAACCTGCGGTGTTGGGTTTGGTCTGGTGCTGCCATGCGTTCAAATGTGAAATCCTGGCCCTCAGGGGGGCTGCTCCTCAGGACAAGCACACTCGCTGGTACACCAGTGAGTGGATGGCGTGTAAACTTTGCCTGCTACACACCTTTGCCTGCTACACACCTCCTAGCCTCTCTTCTCGGCCAGCTAAATCACCCAGTATCACTGACTGTTCCCGACCCGGCTGCAAATAAAGCTGCACTTTCAGAGCACACAGAGGCTGGACAGCAAATGTTACAGCTAGTCCTCTTAAGAGTGGATGCTATCCAAGTTTTTCCTGAACCCTCCCCAAAATATGCCTTCACCCCCCAAACAACAAAAACAAACTTATGAAAACAACCACCCCGTTCCCCAAAGGCAAGGTGGGTATTTTTTTGGTCATTTGTTGGGCTGTGGAAGTTTGTTGTCATTTAGGGGGGTCGGTTACAAGTCATTATTAGTCCTGGTCGGGGAAGAGGCAAGGTGTCAGAGGCTAGGCTCCAGGCTCTCGCTCTCCTCTTTTCTCTGTCCTTCTTTACTATGTAGGGGGAGAAGGGTTGAGAGGAAAAGGGGAGGGGTGGCGAGATATAAAAATAATAGAGGAATAACAGGATAAAAGGGTAGATACTGAATCTATCTTCAACTGTAGAGCTATTGCTGTTCTCAAATATTTCTCCATTGATGTGGATTATTGTATATTGATACAGGCTAAGGTCTTCACGGACTTAGACTGTTGTATATTGATGGGGATGTAAAGGCATTATTGTTAATAATTTATTTTTATTTCACGGACGCTGGTGTTCTGCCTGAAGGTATGTGTGAGGGTCACATACCCTGGATCTGGAGTTACAAACGCATGTGAGCTGCTATGTGGCTGCTGGGAATTGGACCTGTGTCCTTTGGAAGAGCAGCCTGCTCTCTTGACTGGCTGAGCCATCTCTCCAGCCCCCGGAAGTTATTTTTTATACACATAATGTATGCGTGTTTCAACTTCTGTATAAGGTGTGGCGCCTATGCAACTCATTTAAAAATACAATGTGAAATTCGAATCCTTTTAAAAGCTGCTATTACAAACTGTTTTCTTTTTCTTTTTTTTTTTTAATTATAGCATTCTGTCTGCATGTGTGCCTGC